CTTTCGCTCTTCTCATTCTGCGTCGCCGCCATGTGCGTATGTAAACAAAGGCACTGCGCATGCACGTTTTACCCATATTCTATCGCGATATTTCATTTTCTTGTCGTTGCCCAACATTATACCGGTATTACCGTGAACGGTATGATATGGCCCAGCGCTATTTCTTACAATATCTGTCTTTACTGATAGACAGAATTCTCTAACTACAGCAGCATTTCTTTATTAGAAAAACTGAGACAAGCTGTTGAAACTGCACTTCTCCTTCTTATAATGAGATATCTCAGGGATTAAATGTGTAGTTAAACATCTTCAAAGTGACAGAGAGGGGATTTCCACCTGTCTGACCCACTTAAGCTCAAAACAGGCTCTATGTGGACCTCGATGAATGACTTTGACATCCCCGATCTAGAAAACAATCAGCACAGTAAACAATGCCGAAAGTGACAGTTGGCCGCTTTCATAAGCTTCAGCTGCTGCCATATTTAAAAGACAACATGCTGCTGACACTGAGTAGAAAGCTGCATCGATGCCAAAAGCCTATCACTTCATTATGGACACTTTCATTTTTGACTGTCCTCTTTAAACTGAGAGAAGCTGCGTTCACCTGCAAACAAACCCATCAGAGGAATGAATCTACATGTGCAGCAGTGCAGGGACATTAGAAACACCAATGAAAAGTCTTTATTCTACTGCTGTCTCATCTGGCCTTAAGTAGACCGTGGTGAATTATGAATTAATACAGCACAAGCAATTTGTAGAGTTAGTCGCTTTATTGCTTCGGTTGAAGAACTCGTTAATATGCGCTGACAGTCGTAAAACTAACAAGTACAAAGATGAAGACTTTTTAGAATAAATCGCCTTTTTCTTCTTCTTCCAAATTACCACTTCTGTCTCTTTCTTTTCTGTCTGCATCTTTGTCTCACCGTCTCTCGTCCTGCATCCCTTTTTCATTTCAGCCCAAACAAAAGCAGACATTAATCTAAACGCAGCTTCGACTTACATAATATTTCCCTTTTTCATCAACCCTTCCATCCATTCTCTCCGTCGCTCTGTCTTTCAGGGAATCTATAAACACACGCCCACACGCTCATGCACGACTCTCACTTGGCTTAGAGGCAGGATTTAATGTCAATGAAAATCAACCAATTAGCAGTCAGCTTCAAACAGCATCCGAAGTGTGAGCTCACGAGGGGCGAAAAGAAAGGAAAAAAGAGAGAGAGCAACATTATGAAAGAGGAGAAATATGGGACGAGACGGAAGAGAGAAAACACCGAGCGCAAAGTGATTTAAAATGCAGCGTCCAATCGTTTCAGACCAACAAGATACGTCTTCATTTTGGACGGCAGGCTTTAATATTAAAGGAATGACTTTTGAGACAAAGTGTTTTGTGTTACTCTGTGCCAGTCATATATTACACTGCCTTCATGCCTCTTAGCTAATTCATTTTAATTGGATGGAAGCAAACTCCAGTATGTACGCTGTCCTTTGCTGAACTTCAGCTTTGAATGCAGCTGGAGCCATGTGAGCGTGAATAAAGGGGGTGTAATGTGCTGCAACAGATATAAACAAGAGAGAACACTAGGACCTACTATTCTGCTCACTTTTTGCCTTTTCAGAGCAAAACAGTCATACTGGCCTATAGGATAATAAGATAAGAGAGCAGTGCAGCCTTTACCGAGCCCCATAGAGTGATTTGCATTTAACCCATCTTAAGCATTGGGAGTAGTGGGCAGGCAGCGTGCAGCACCCATGGACCAGCTGCAGCTGTAAGGCATGTCTTGGTCATACTATACTGCTCAATATAAGTTTATCCTACCTGACACAGTTTGATGGAAAGGGTAGAGGTTACTGGACATTCAGGATAATCAGGAACTTTAGTCAATTTGATACTCATGTGTTTTTCTT